ATGTTGCAACATGCTACCACCTTGGAAGGACCAAGTGTGCAGAGGGGTACTTCTAACAGCGTAGCCTCCAGACAACTCCCTTATATTTCTGAGCTGTGTACTCTTGTCAATACAGTTACTTCAAGGCAACTATGGAAAGAAAAGTAAAATAAATGCAACAAAGGTTCCACAGCCCGATTCAAAACATCTCATTTAATCAGCTAATTAAAGCCCTGAATCATTTACAAATAAGTATCTGGTCTAAGTGACTCTAGTGACTAAGGCCCCATACAGTCATCATCAGACATTGCTGAATGATTTCAAATCACGAAGCTAGTACCCTTTTATCTCTCAGCTGCTGATGAAATCACCCTTGGGGAGTCTCCAGTACCTGTGCATGTCCACAGGTAGACAGAGAAGTTATCCTGTATGGGCTAGATGAGTTACGGGGCCAGAATTCAAAATAAGCAAAAGGTGTGTGACGCTTGAGCTCAGCAAACGGGGACCAGAAACCAGAACACACCTAAAGGATGCCCCTTTCCAGTCCCATTTGTGTGTGTGTGAGTGAGCATGGCCGTGAAACCCAGATTTTCTGCTGGCTATGCAGTTTGAGCTAATTGTATTTTTTGCCTTTAAATCTAATTCCAAATTAGGCTGAATTAAAAGAGGGGGGGAAAGAAAAAAAAAAAAAAAAGGCACATCACAGAGTCTACCAAATAGAGTGGTAAAATTGCACAAAAATCACTGAGATTATTGCTCTAGCTCAGAGAAGATTATTTTATCCAGGATGCTCTTCTGTTTGCCTGAACAGAAATTCAACATATGGTGTTCTAAGCTATATTCCTCCACTGAGAAAGGAGGTACAGAAGCCCCACTACCACCCAGATGATGGGAACCGCGTAAGGAAATCAGAAACTAAACAAATAAATGAAAAGCAAACAAACATTTCTTAAGTGGATAAGTAGGACATGCTGCTAGTGGGACAGAATACAGTAAGGAAATTAACTTGGCTTAGCTAATTTTGGCTGCAAATTGTGAAGTGTTCATAAGGGGGAGAGATAAGTAAACATTTTTAGATTGGTGCTTGGGACTAATGTTCATAGATTTTTTACCTCAGAATGCCAGTGAAGATAAAAACAGGGTCGAGTTGGCTTAAGTAACATGGAGTATCTTAGTGATCCCGATGAAAATGAAGATGGAATGAAGATAGTGCATAAATGAATTGCTGAATAGAAAGGATGAGTGGTGGTAGTGTCTGGAGTGCTCCTGCTTTGCTGAAGTGATCAGCTTTTAATCCTACTCTGTTAATGCCACAAAATGAGAAAAAGTCTAATGTTACGGTATCTGCATTCCAGTAATACAAGTCTGTCTTGAGTATTTAAATATTATGAAGCATTCTCCCTCATTTAGTAGTAATTACTTCTAAATTGGCAGCTATACTGCATTTATTTTTTGGACAACAGGACGGAATAAACATCTGTTATTAAAAAAAAAAAAAAAAAAAGAAAAAGATAAGGCTGGTGTATTAAATTTTGATTATTTTCTTCATTATGGGTGCTTTGATGCATGGTAAACGTAATTTAGAAAAAAAAAAAAAAAGGTGTAGACTCCCAAACAGGAATGTTGTAAATTGAATACATTTGTGGTTGCTCTTCTAATTCTGACATGAGTATTTAAACAAAAGGCATCTCAATAAAACCCCCATTGAACACATGATTTACATATAGACATGAGATTCTAAATACATAATAAAAAATAGGGCAAGCAGTATAATGCTATGCTGTTAATGCTAGTTTTAAGCTTTCCTAAGCTAAAACTTGACTTTTTATCTGAATTTCTAGGTTGTATTACTGATTAAGTATTACTTTGCTGTTGTGAAAATAATTGAATTTTATTTATGTAAATATTTATTCTTACAAACTTCTGTTGTTGAAAGCATTTTGTTTCAGTCAAAACTATACCAGAATCAAAGCTGTTAACAGCTGCTGCAATTTAAATGAACAGTTAGAAGAGCTAGAATACAATAATTTTATGAACTCTTTTGGTAGTAATAATTCACGTCCTGTATCAACAGGGATTGTTATGCAGTACAAACTATTTCTCTCTGTAATCTGAAGCAAAGTTCAGGAAATATCACAAAGCATTTAACGTCTTCATGGAAGTGCTTAGGTGTTTCTCTAAAGTCAGACCTCACTGACTCTTACAATTGCTTTAATGCCTGCGAAGTTCGTGGATTCCCTCCTCCCCAACATATTTACAGGTGGACTCTAGTTTTGCAGAGGTCTCAAGGAATATCAAAGAGGTTATTAAAGCTCAGTTTCAGATCAGCATTTTTAGCGTTCTAGGCAGGTTTTAGAAATGTCATGAAAATTATTTCAGTTCATCTGAATTTTGGATAATTAGAGCCAATAAACTGGGATTCACCTTTACTTTTCCTGTATGGTACAATACATGATCACATGTTCAAGACAGATGCCATGATGGGAAAATGAGCATGCATCAGTACTATTCCACATTCACTAAAACTTATAATGACTGATGTAGGATAAAACAAGAGACTAAAAAAAGACTTTGTGTAATTATTGTAAGAATAGTGTAATAAAAACCTTGCTCCTGAAAGCTTGAATTGTTTCAACAATGTGTAGCAAACATATTTGATTATACAAAGCAAAAGCACAACTAAGTTATCAAATTTACACAAAGTCAGATATCTGAAAGGGGATCTTTTAAAAAAAAACTTTATTTGAGAAAGGAAGAGACTTATATCAGAAGGCAAAAAAAGGGAACATACAAACAGAATATATTTACAACACAAAACAAGAGATCACCTCTAAGGGTGTAAATTATAATAAATACAGTAGATTTAAAATGTAAGAGACAATAATCAATTAGAAATGTGGTTGTTTAAACCCAGTTTTCCTTTTCACTGGTTCCAGGTAGTTTCTCTATTTTAATTTTATCCAAATTTGGAAGATTGTGAAATTAAAGTCCACTAATGTATTGGGGTTTCTCACCTGAATGACATTATAAAAATATCTTTTGTGAATACATCTTTGAAGTGATATTGTACAAAAGTCTTCTCATTTGCAAGTTTCTCCCCAAATAAAATGTATTTTAAAAGATGCACTATCCCTTTTTGATGAGGCTGAAGTTAGGTTTCAAAGAAAATTAAAATTATACAGAATGGGAAAAAACATGTAATTTCATTTTTCTATGCTTCTATTTTTGAATGTGGATGTATTTTTTTTTCATCCAAGACGGAGTAAGATTTCTGTTCAAATATGAAACACACATAAAAATCACCTGTGTTTTTCTCAATTAATAAATCTTTCCTATCTAGGAGGCCTTTCATATTAACAGCAGCTATTTAGTCATTTGTTTGGAGACCTTCTAGGAAAAAGGATAATGTATCTTTAGAAGTCGCAACATTTTATAAGAGATTTAATAGTATTAGAGCATAATGTAAACAACACATGCTAATAACATTTTAGAACAATTTCTATATTTGGCAAAACAGCTATCTCTTTTGAAACAGGATACTGCACCTTAAAATACCTCAGCTTTAGAAATATAAATATTTTTAATAGAAAAAAAAACCTGACAAGGATTCCAGGTCAGTTTGGGATTATCCATATTAAAGGGGATCTTAATACAATGAATCTTTAACTAGCTTAAGAAAAGTAAACCTATAAAACAAGGTAAACATATCAAAAGGGAATATGAAGGAAATGTTTCACTGGAAAGCTTCCTTAACAATTTCCCTACTCGCTTTGTTATTTTCTTTGACAATAAATCAATTCATAGAGTGCCTTTAAAAACAGAGGGAGCGCTGCCCCGTCCCCCCCCTGCCCTGCATTCCTCAGCACATGAATCACTTGGGCTTCCTGTTTCCATAAGGCATTTCCTGCACCCCCTCCCAAAATCACTTTTCTGCAGGAGAACAGCGGGGACCTGACAAAGCATCGACTTAAATAAACAGGGCCTTCCACTGCATCCAGCCTTGCTCTGCCTGATCTTACAGCAACAGAAAAGGACGCCAGCTCGCTGGCTGCACGCGTGCACTGCACTTTTCAGCTCTGGTGAAACGGTCGCCGACAATCTGGTTTCCTTTTGCCAAGCTGGCATTTTATGCACAGGCGTTATTTTAGTCCTTGTCCATGAGACCGAACAGTAAAAGTTATGCGATATCGTATGATTAGTCTTTATTTAAAGAAAATAAACAGGTGATTGGATATCAGATGGCAACGATAACAGGTCTGTGCTTTTCCTGCAATATCCTAATAACTAATTGGAACCTAATGCTGCATTTTGCTTCTCACCAGTACTTGCATCTGTTGCATTTAAAAACGTCTCTGCAGACAGTATCATCAAATAAGACAGAATGAAAAATTAACTAAGCAGTGCAAAAAAGAAAACAACACAATTTTTAAACAGTGCCTTGCCTCTTTACATCCACCTTGTATTCTTCTCTAAATTATACTTTATACACCAGCCTGGGACCACTGATATAGCAGTCAGTACCTGTCTACTGGGGAAAAAATACCCTAACGTTAACAGTGTTCAAGACTACAGTATGATACAATATATACAGATAGCTGAAAGCAAAAGTCAAAGGATTCAAAATCAGAGAAGAAGAATGTTTCATCAATCAGGTCTGGAAGCTAATTCCAGCAATTGCTGATCTCAACAAGCTAGGCAATATGGGTTCTCTTTCACTAGAACTAAGCGGTGTAATGTAATCCTGGGCTAATACAAAGTCTATCAGCTATTACGCAAAGATGTATGTAGAGTAATTGACTGCAACAGGTATTTTCTCAATTAGTGGCCATAAGGATGAGCTTCACTATGTTTTCAAATGTGCATACAACACTTCTGCCTTTGTGAGATTCTTTGAACAGTAAATCAGGATTTGCTAGATCAGTGAATCAAAACACAATTGCTTATCAAAGCCTAGAAAATGCACGTGATGTTCAGATAATAACCTTAATTACAAATCCTGGAGCTAAATCTTTGCCTATTACCTGTTGCATAAAAGCAGCTTGCTCCCCAGATTCCATTTGCTGGGTTTGAACATCCTCATCACTGTCCGGTGGCTCCTCTTTGACTTTCACAGCCCCCACCTGCTGTCCTATTCTGTCATCCGCACCAGCACTGCTGCTCTCAGCCCTAACGCTGGCACCGCTGGTGGGAGCTCGCTCTTCTGGCATTGAGGGATCTCCGTGAAGCTCTTCTTCAGCCTCCTCCAGGTGACTGCCAGGCTGCTTGAGCTGCTCAATGGACTTAGATAGCATCTGGAAAGAGAAGGGGGGGGAACAGTTATTGACTCCTTTCACTGATGCCAAACACCAAGAAGTACTAGATTTGCACTGACAAAATTAAAGCTTCCGCAGCAAAACCGGGTAGCTATTCATTGCTAAAATATTAATATACCGGGAAAAAAGAACCAAATTTTCTGAGGCCGCTTGTTATTCTGCAGTAAAAAATACCATGTATGTAGGGAGCATCACACAGTAATATCAAACTAAAAATAAGGCAGAATGAGGAAAACATTACATATACCTCTGTTACACTGTTACAGCTGCTGGTCAAGAGAAATTAGTCTCCCTTCATACTCTTCAAACATAAATGAGGACATTTATTTAACTACATTACAGATTGTTTTCCACAACACAAAATAATAAAAGAAGTCTAAGAAGTAAGAAAATTATTAATCCAGTTAATATTTTACTACAAGCGTATTAGGGAACATTCACACAAGCTTCTCTGTTATGTACCTACTATGAAGGCACTAAAAGCTGACAAAGAGCAGTGACAAAGACTTGCTGTCAGGCACCTCTTCTGTGGCACAAAGAGACTACAAACATGTCTGTCTGTGACTGGAAAGACTATAACTTTTGTCACGCACATACAGGTATCCCTGTTTCAGAGGTGATGATATAACACAACTACCCAGACAACACTGGTTTTACACCATTAGCTGCTATTGTAAAGCTCTGCTGAGGTGCCGGATGCCTGTCTGTTGCAATGAAGTACAGTTTACGTTTCACTATTTAAGATGCAGCAAATATATTCCAAAATAGTTCAAATGTGATGCAAAAAGCCAAACCTGAAAAAAAAAATCACTGCGTTGTCTAAAGAGGCAACAAATCATACATGTAAGTAAGCATCTGTGGGGTCAAGTGAGTAATTATAATTTATTCAGCTGGCCCACTTGATTTCAAGCAAATGCTTATTTGTATCACCAAGGTCAAATACACTTAAAGGGGAAAAACCCCACATTTTACTATTACTCCTACATACTTTACTCTTCCCATCTGCCTACCCCAACACCTACCAAGTCTTTCAAAATGAGTTTTAGCTAGTGCTATATGCTGAGTTACTGGGTGGCTTCACTATAGCTATTTTTGTCCCAATCCATGGACCATCTAGTTTCATTCTGCTTGCTAATGCATACAGAAAAATGCCACCCTAGTGAAGGGCAGGGTTGTCATGTTAACTATGACCCAGAAGCGACAGCTGGATTCAGGAATTCCCACAAAGTCAACAAGAAGAGTTGAAAGAGCTGTTTGTGCAGTTCCAGTGGATGCTCTGATGTATATGCCTCACATCAGTGGAGAAACAAATTCCACAGTGGAAGTCTGCAGGCTTCAGTCACAGCAAAACTTCATTTTTGGGGTGTAATGGGAGTTTAATGGCTTACTAAAAAGTAACAAACAAAAAATCCCTTTCAATTACTGTAGCAACTGGCAAATCACAACACATGTGTCCTGCATGCTGCAGATGGCATGCTCTAAGCTGGGGAATCCTTACTACTGCAACTAATGCAGTGTCTCCTTTTATTAAGCATCTGGAAAAATTCTCAGATCAAACCTATAAATCTTTTCCAGTTTTTTTCTCAGGGGATGACGCTGATCAAGAAGGCACTAGAGCTAACTACATGTATTCAGTTCGGGTACACTCCTCTCTATCACTTACTTAAACCTCTGTGGGCGAGCCCTCTCCACTCTTCAAGCAAGAAAAAAAAGGCAGGGCTGGCTGCTTGGCCGGCTGCTAGAAAGCAAAAACAAGCTGAAACATCTGTGTGACAGATCATCATATACAGCTACAAGAGTCACTGATGCTGATCCATCTGTAAACCATTCCATGTGCCAGTTACTTGACATCAGGTGGGTTATTCTGGAGGGGAAGCCAAGAGAAAATGAGTGCTTGTCCACAGCAAAGTTAAGATGCATATTTAGCTCATTAATGCTCTCCTTTCTTTTATGCTTTTTCACTTTTATGTCAGGCTCTTTCTTCTTCATGCTGCTGTACAGAACAGATCTGCTGCTGAACTTTCTGAGGTCATACATGATGGCCTGCAGTATATAATCTATATGTGAAACACCTTCAAATGCTTTTTGCATGTCATCAGTGGAGCGATACAAGCACATGTAAGAGGGCTGTGGAGACTGTAGTGGTATTTGTGTGCACTTCAGTTTGCAGTGTTCCTGTTTTGGGGCCTGCTCCATGCCATGGCAGTCAGAAGGCGATTTGCTCCAGAGTTTGGCAACAGAAGGAGCTAAACAAATACAATATTCTAAAACTCTGAAATGAAAGTCTTTATATAATTACACAGTAGATTTTACAAAGTGCATTCATATTATCATCTTTACTAAAAATCTTATAAAAAACCATCCTTTACACTTTAACTAAGCCTGAGGCAAGGGGCTACGAGGCACTATAGTCATGTCCTCTCATATGATGAAGCATGATAAAAAGAAGTGGATGGCATGTGTGGGGGACAGGGACACCCAACACCCAAAAACAACTCCTGCTGCTCAGTCTGCTAAGCCACAGCTGACTGTTTTGTATCACCACCATGCTTTCATATTTGTTAAAGTAATTTTTAAAGGCAGTTTGGCCCCATCTTATTCCAGTAATTACATTAGCAGCATTACAAGGAGACTGTTCGGTTCTCCTAAGTCAGAAACATGTTATTTTATATGTTATCTTCTGGTATTACCGTGGAAAATTAAGTATCTAGAGACATATGAAGATACCAGTTTAGAGTCAATATTTCTATCTTATCTCTCTATCTAAAGCTGGATTATGTAGCAGAAAATGAGTCCTGAATGAAACACTCCTAAAGTCCTTTCACTATGCAGTTGGATACTTCTGCTTACACTTAATGTTTAAATCTTTCACTTCAAACCCCCACTTACCATTTTTTTCTGAATTTATCTGTGGGTAAATGAAGAACTTTTTCCTCATTTTAATTCATATTTTTGATTTTGAAAAAATTATTGCTTCTTCTGAGTTTTAGTAAGGCTACATTTAAAAATAATAATAAAGCCACGGTCTCTTTCACTAACAAATTAGAGTTGTACAGATTGGTCTTCTTTAACCAGTATACTTTACTGGTATCACTATTGCAACAAAAGGAGTCACTAAAAAAAAATGGTTTCATGCTAATGGAACCTATATTTTTTTTCCTTTTATTCTCAGGAAATTAAACTGTAAGGGATATGCATGAGCCAAAGTAAATAGTGGCAGCAGGAGAGGAGGTATTTACAGACGACAACTCGGTTGCAGAACTGCAAGAGTCCAACCCAAAAAGGCATCAAACACAATCTAATCTGCTTGCTTGTACAGAAAAATGGAAGACTAAGTATAAAGAATCTAGACATTGCAACAGACTATGTAGGTCCTTCAGCCACAGCCCCTTCCTTTGTTTCTCCTTTCTAATAAGGTCTTGTAAAATACTGTATTTTAAATAAAATGTCATTACAAGCAGACAAAGCACAAAATCCTGCAACAGGCACACCACACCTTTCTTTACTTAATTAATAATTTGTTTTAAATACATGGCAGTCATTTCTAAGAACTCATGTATATACTTATGGAACATACCTTTTCTCCTTCTCTCCTGTGGATATCAGATTACTTTGATCAGCTATGTTAGTTGTTAGCTGTACTGAAACAACTTGGCACCTGCTTACCGTTGTCTCTGTTACTTATGTAGTACAACGTTTCTAAGGGATGTATTTATCTTTCAGAAACATTCCTCTGCATTATGGCTTAAACATTAGTTGTCAATAAAGGAGGAGATGCTCTGGGCATTTTTCAGTTCTGAACACAGTCAACAGTTGCTATAGTTTTGTTCAAATAATCCCCTGCTATAAGGAATATTTGAAAGAAGCAATGTGCTACCTCTCACCTTCAGAAGGTGCTAGTCAGATGTTTAAGTTGGAAAGCAAAACTTCAGTTGTAATATGTTTAATGACGTTAGATTCATTTACTCCAGCTGAACCTGATCCATATTTCATTAAAGATCATTTAGAGAAGTGAATGATTAATCTGGGGTTAATGGTATTTTTTCAATATTCCTATTGACAACAAATAATATTCCTATTTTTTCCCACCAATGAATCAACAGAAACTTCCATATTACTTTTCATTTTTAATGAACAGATATTGGTCAATTATGATCACCATCCAAAGCACTAACAAATTTTCACTTCCGCTATATTTTTTGTAATGAATTTTTTTACCTCACAGTCTTTCCCAGTCACTGGTTCCCTATACAAAGATGCTTTAAACCAATTAACATCCTGGAATGAAAACTGAAATTCAGGTACTCCTTATCTAAGCTTTAACATTATCCATACTGCTCCCATACTTTAATGCATACTGCCAACTGTCCCATTATTTTAAGCTTTACTACTCCATTGCAGAGGAGGATTTTACCATTGAAAATAAATTGTTAAATTGCTCTAAATACATTAAGAACACATGTAGGGTTCCCACACTATCAAATAAAATCTTGGTGCCAGTGAAGACAGTGATAACTTAGCTTCAGCAGAGGCAGGCCTTTATTCATCACAAGTGACAAAAAATAACCTTTAAAGACAGAGGGCTTTGTTCACATACTCTTCACATTATGATTTCTGAGATTTTCTTGAATGAAAACTTCTGTAAGGGCTATGCACTTACATTAGTTACATCAAAGTCACCCTTTTTTTCTGCAAGTGGCAGGGTCAATGCTTTCTAGATACAGAGATACACAAATAACATAAAGATTTTAAGGTTTTTATCGTAGTACCAGTCTTTTGGTACCTGATTGCAATAATTTTAACGGTGGATTTCAGACCGTGGACTCCCTTTATTGAGCAGAATGAAGATCTGCAATGGTGATCAAAGGGTCTTATGAGGAAATAAGCTGTCATTTGGACAGAAGTATATTAAAGCTGACAACGGTAAAGCTGATCTTCCCTAAGACAAGGCGAGTTCAGGTTACTTCACATTCATTATTATTTTTTTTCCCCAGAAAGCTGGGACGAGAGTTTCTACCTACTTTTGGATGGGATGTCAACATTTGCAGAATGTTTTCACAAGGTCAGCATACTAGATCCCGCAGGTATAAATGTCAGACTTCAGTGGAGACATATACCGTTTCCCACATCAAAAGCCTGGCATCTGACAGCTGACCAGAAATAATCCATAGGGGATCTTCTCTTTGTTATTAAGGACAGAGGCACACCTCTTGGCAATGATTTGTTTCTTTTCAGAATGGAAATGATCCAGGGGAATTCTTTACCTCTGACCTATGTTAGATTTTGCTTGTTATCACCCTCACAGCAGCACTGGCTTGCTGCTGATGTATATTCTTTTCTAAAATAAAAGAAATGGCTGTTAATACAAGATAAATACAAAATCAATAGTGTGGGGAGAAACTTGCTCTCTTCCTCTTTGTGTTGTTACAGCAAGGTTTGCCTATATGTCCGCCAAAAAGATCTGACCCAACACAGTTTTCAGGAAGGGCTGACAGATGCCATATCATCTTAGTTTAGGGCAGATGTTCAAATACTGGGTTCAAGCGAAATATATTAAAGCTTTAAGTACTTGAAGTCCTAAACATAAGGAAAAAAGGAAAGAGAAATGGAAAACCAGAAGAAATTAACATGTTCTAAGCTCTTGACCAACTGGCATTTCATAGTCTTGTCATCTTAAAATGGTTTTGGTCTTTCTCACCAAAACTTTTAAGAGAATGTTTGAATATTCCTTATTAAAAAAAAAACCTCTATATTTTTTATGACTGAAAAGGAGGGAATGAAACCTCTGTGCAGTTTTCGTTATACAGCCTATGAACAAAAGAGTAAGGGACAGAACAACGGAAAATAACAAGTATGTATTCACTTGCTACATGCCCAAACTTGTCCTAAGAAATGAGAAGATACTGGGTTGCTTTGCTACATGGTCTACATGAGAACAGTGCTACATGAGAACAGTGGTTCTCAACCTGTGGTTCCTGGACCCCTGGGGGGCCACAATGTCATCACAGGAGGTCCGTGAAAGCTTTAAGCTGGGGTGAGGAATGTCCAGCCCAGAAACATTTGCTCTGGCCTGCAGCACGCACTGCACATCCTTTTCCCACAGTCCCATACCCTCAATCCTCCTCTCCTACTCAAGCCCCACCCCTGCCTGCCCTGACACACTACTGTATTTGGTGCTAGTATGGTTGGTGGGACCCACTTTAACTAGGCATGTTTTCTCATCAAGACATTTTCTTAAACCAATAGCTCTCTTTAGGGTCACAACGGGGTTGAAGTCTGTTCCTCCAAGTGGTGGCCCTGGACCCATAAACAAAAATATACGGTGACTGAACACAGAGAAAGAAGGGGGGAAGTGAGAAGAACTGTAAAAACTTTTCATCAAATTTTAATGCAAAAATTGGCATCAAATTTAGAATTAGCATGTTAAAATACCATAAAATGGGCTATCTGAGCAAGAAGAGTGTTAATGCTATTATTTTAAATTCATATGGAATCATTGCAATAAAGATATTATAATAGGAGTGTGTGCATTAACAGATTTCCCCTTCTCTCCAAATCTGAAGACCCTTCATGAGAAAATTGAAATAAATATTTGATGCAGTCTAATGCCTTAAATCTTGAATTAAATCTTGGTGGTCTGTGGCCACAAAAGGTATTTAAAGAGAGCCCATGGTGAAGGAAAGGTTGAAAACCTGTGGTCTAGAATATCTACTGTCTAAAGGTTCAAATAACTCTGCTTTGTAGAGTTTAAGTTTATAAAGCCACTCAAATTATATAATGAAGAAATAACTTCAACTGCAAATAGAGGCAAGTTTTAAGATTGAACAAAGTATATTCCACCATGCTAGCAGAGTTCAAAAACCTTATGTAGACACGGCTGTTCAATGTGAACCTTAAGTTAAAGGTTAAAGAATGCAGTTTTAAATTCAGTACTTAAAAGCCACTCCATGATTTGATCTTTTCTCACACTCTTATGTATGGGCTACCCTTAAATTCCAGTTTTTAAAAACCAGCTTTCTTCTTTTAAGTATGTAATAAAGTTCCCCTGGCTTTGTGTATACTTGCAAAAGACAGATACATGATTAGAGCACTGACATTTTTCAATACTATTCATCAGAATGGTTCTTCTGAGAACCGTGCTGTAGAACCTAGCTGCTGTAAACTGTAAAGTCTGATAAACCACCTGTATCCTCAGATAACCCACTGCTTTTGTGACGGCAGCATGATCCTCTTCTTCCTTAAGTGTTTGCTACTCTGATGAGTTACTGTGCTTCTGATGAAGGCTAGTTGCTCTGGGAGTGGGGATAAAGGAGAATGAGAAGTTATTGGGTCAAAAGAGGTAGGTTATGGAGGTTCAAGGCAGTGAAAAAGCTTAGGTTAAACTTTAATTTCTACTATCTGCATATGTGTATAACCTATGCTGTAATGAATAAAAGCTAGGTTCACTAGGTCTCAAAAGAAGGAATTGTTTTATCTCTTTATTACAAATATCCATGTGAGAATGAAAGTGTATTTCAAGTATGAGAGGGAATTAATCTTCTCAACATTTATTTTCATTGCAGTTTAACTCCGAAAAAAAATGTTACTGAAACAAACATTATCCAAACCAACAGGAATCTTTTTACTTCCTTATCCAGACTAGCTCTTGTGAGGTGCAATGCATTCCTAGTTCTATGTGACTAGGAATATGTGCATGCGACTTAAATTTAATTTTCATATCCAGGACAAATGTACCTATATGCCACAGCACATATCCCCAAATGCTATGGTAGAATTTATGTCAATAAGCATATGATCTAACAAAAACATGTCAGTGGGGTTCTTTGCTTTGTGAGGAATGCATGAACTGATAGGTTTGTGGTGAATACTCACAAACAGCACAAAGACTCAGTACTTAACTGGTAAAAATTCTTTTCTCCTTGGACAATTGAGGGCAGGTGAAATATTTTCAAAACCTGAGGCTACGAGATATACATATGCCATCTTGATTAAACATATGGAATGCATACTCAAAGAAAAGCCAACTGGAGTCCTAGTTGAGTAATCAAAACACCCAAGCTGAGAGGGGTTAACATGCAAGGATCAGCTCTGAACTTTGAAGTTTTCTGGTCTTCATTTTTCCTAATTAAGACAAGATTTAATAACCAAACCACTGTACAAACTATGTACTTAAACTCTAGGTTTGTTTCTAATTTTGTTGGGAATTCTTTGTAGATTCCAAAGAATCAGTACCCCCTGGGAAGTTCACCCAGTAAGGTGGATTGATTTTTTTTTTATTTTCTCTTACATACAAGGGCTGCATGCCCGCTTTTAATCTTCTTTCCCTTGCCATTGCCTCTTATACAGAGAGAGTTATTAAGTAACCCTCAAACAAAGGAAGACAACTAAAGGTGTATGATTAGCATCTTTGAATTACTAAAAGAGCTCTGGCAAACAACTTTTGGAAAGCTATGTAGTAAGTACAGGAATAACATTTTCCAGATAAAAGGATTTAATTACTTGAATATTTTTATTTTAGAGAAGGGAACAGCATCAAATTAATTGTAGAAGCATTAGCTCCTCATAAATCTGTTTAGATGCTGCTATTCTGTTTATTAATGGATAGGTCCTTTTCTTCTTTTTCCCCTTCAGAATAAGGTGTTACTCTACAGGGAAAGAGGGGCACAATTCAACTCTGTATCTGATGTTATCAATAACACATTCATCTTTCTCCTTATATGGTAATTTTTTATCACCATATAAATAACCTTTAATGTTACTAATTGACTTGCAGAGAAAAATTTGGTTTTGTAAGCTGATTAAAAATTTCTCCAGATGTTTAATAAGTTCCTTAGACAAAAAAAGATAAATTTAATCAGCTGATTGAATTTAAATGAGTTATATATCTACTCTGCATACTAGTCCACAATAAGAAAGCTTAAAATACAATTCAAGGGCAGCTGAATTCAATGATTGCTGAAGCTCAAAAGTACACATTAAAAAGTTGGTTAGAAATCTAGCAATATTTAAGGCATCTTTTACCATTCAACAGGAAACCACCTGTAATTTAAACCCATAAGATGCTTTGAACCCTGTTTTGTTGAACTGTATTCTTACTGATGTCAAGAAGGACAAATTACTTTTGTAGAGTATTTCAGAAGCTGAAAATGAAGATCTATATAAATGCATACACCAGCTATGCATAAACAAGTTGCTCGTGAAAGAACCTGCCTACTGACCATGACCACATGGCACCAATATCTAAATTCCCTTATTAGTTTTCAGCATTTATGTTTATTGGAAATTCCTTAGTTTGAGAACTCACCTTATTCATGTGGATCTGCTGCTGGTACTGTTTCTGCTTCTCCAAAAATTGTTGATGTTGCTGCTGAATGACCAGCTGAGCCAAAGTACTCTGAGGAAGAGGAGCTGACTGGGTTCGATTCAGTGGCCTGTGACGAGGCAGTTTGTGGGCAGCTCTTATGCCAGGTGACACTCTCTCCTTTGCTGCTAAAGGAGACTGTGGATGAAGAGGAACCGCTCCTGCAAAACAGGGACATTTCACTCCCATGTGAAGAACAGCAAACTAATAGTTCTAATAGGAGAGAAAGCTTTCAGGGAGAAGAGGTGTGTATATTGCAGAACTTTGCATCAGCGCAGATGCAGTGGGACATGTACCACGTGCCTCGCCACACTGGGAAGTTCAGCAGCTGCAAAAGAATGTGATGAAGTAATCATTTTCTCTTTTCTGTAATCACTGAATTCTTTCAGGCTAACAGACTGGAGCAGAATCACTAAAAGGGGAAAACAAAGATGCTGTCCTTTTTTATCCCACCCTTCCACTTTTCCCAACTGTTAGGTTGAATAGTATCTGTATTACCACATATAGTTTAATGTGAATACAAATGTCATTAAAAACATCTTAAATTATCGTGTTGAAGTCTTGATCATTACCAGTCACAAGAAGTTTTTGCTGTCTCATTTGTTCTTTCAGTAACAGATGCTGCAAGAGAGCTTGGTGGCTGCTATTTGGCTTTCCCTCCAAAGCAATGTGAGGATGAGTTGATGACGGAGGAATGTTTCCCCCATACTGTCCAGCCAAGGCCACTCCTTGTCTGAGCGACTGGTTCTCCCCCTTCTGCTTTTCTTTGAATGACGACGAAGCCTGTCAAAGAACAATGGCACTGGTAACTGCTTTTCATAGACCTGTCCGTTTATATCTCCGCTTGATTAGATGATCTTATGTCATACTTATGAATATATATAGAAGAAAATGTTAACATCCCCATCTTACACTGTGAGATGAAAAGGGAGGAAGAACATGCCAGTTAAATGTAACACTGTGAGAAACTGAGTAATGAAACTGCTTGAAAAAAATCAGTAATAAAAGCCAAAGCATAAGGAACTACTAGTTAGAACATTATTAATGAAAAGACAGGACCTATCCTTAAAATTCCTAAAGACCTTCCCATAGCCTCCTACACAAGAAAATAGGGGATCAGAGGAAATAGTTTCCGTTGAGTTTGGAAGAGGCAAGGCTTGGTTTTTCACATAACTTTCCATCAGACAGCAAGCCAATCAGCAAAACAAAATAATTACCTGTAGTAGTGGGAAGCTATTACTTTTCCTGGAGCACTCCCTTACTCCCTGAAGGACAGCACAAATGTAAGTTTTACCCTTTGCAAAGTAAATTTGTATAGTTAAACTCTCATCTACAGAATCAAAAAGAGCTGTTGTCTGTATGTGGCATTTTAAAGTGCCGTTATAAATTGCGCAGTTACTGATTTAAAGCTTTTGGAAGTTTTGGCTCTTCAGCATTGCAAATGTACTTTATATTTCTTTGTTTTTTGTCTAATTTAAAAAAAAAAAAAGTTTTTAACAGAGCAGTTAAAGCACAATAACATTTTTTACAGCAAGAATAATAACCTAACAGAAATAAGCATATTGAGATTTGCAGATAACCTGTTATGGTATGTCATGGTAAAAACAGTATCCATGATAATCTAAATTCCATGAATTCTAATGAGGCAAACCAAGGTTTTCACTAATATTCCTTGAGTGTACACTTAATTCACACCCTGATATCACCCTTCCCTGAAAAACAAACACCAAAGTAAACTTCACATTGAATTTGCAACTGCTTATTCTGGTAACAGAAATAAACATTACTTGCACAAATCAACCCCTTTGTTTTTTCTAATGCCAAAAGTAATATTTGGTGTTAGCTAGCCACATCAAAAGCTCATATGATTTGACTGAGAAAACTAAACGTATTTTCATTTCCATTTTAATGTTATAAAATTACTTTGAAGTTAGTTATATTTTTTTTTTGTGAATTAGCTAAGAAATTTTTGATTATATCATCTGGAAAAGTAAGCAGTACTTTTCATGCTCAGTTCAATTTTTCCATCCCTTAAAACCAAGATTTTCTTATAAATATCTCATGAATGGCTTCTAGAGGACTGATCTAAAGCTTACAAAATTTTCTTTGCAGAGTTCTACATCTGATGTTCAAATATTGGATTGCAGCAATGTATTATTGGTGAGAACAATACATGTACTGAAAAAGCCATAAAATAGCATGAAACGTTAACTTGAATCTATGTTTAGCACTGGAATTAAGTAGCACTTCTTACAAACCATAATGGATTATAAACATTTACTTTTTTTTTTTTTTTTTAACACCATGGAAAGCTGTGTTCCACACTTAGAATTTTTATAGCAGTTACCAATTCACATTCTAAGAAACTTAAATTACTAAAATGTCTTCATGATTTATTTACTATTGTATAGAACTACCATATAACCTATATTAGTATTTTTACTTCTTTTTTCCCTGGAAATCAGAAAAGGTAAGTTTTGACCAGTAGCAAAATTTTCAGATATTTTACTGAGCCTCAGATTTCACACCTACATTACTGTAACTTGCTCTGGATCTAAAGATCTTTATCCATCAGCATGGATTTCCATACATACCATGTCTCTGTTTACATACATTTCACATATGAATTTAACATTTAGCTCTAAATAAAGGTGATTGCTGCAGACTGAATGAAGCACATATAAATATAACTTGTCATTAAAATATTAAGCATTGATCACATATCACTGATTTTATTTCTCTGACTGATAGCACACCTCTCAAATAACAAACCTAGCTCCAGCAATATTAGATTCTTCCCCTACTATGCTCCAGCCCAGCTTAGGTTGCTACTAGAATCTCATAAAAGTTACAGGTGCAGTACTTTACCATGTAAGGGTGATCCTATAATTTGAACTTTTATACTAAATGATCTCCTCATATACTTTTCACCAAGTCTGAAATCTGTTATGTGGTTTGTAGACATAAATGCAATGATGTGGCCCATACTTAGCTAAACTCCACACTGACAATTGTTTATTTGTGATTAAGACTGATTATTGCTTTCAAGTTGTGCCCTTAAATGTTCAGATCTTGCCCACTGCAAAGAAAGCTCTGGTTCCTACTCTGAATTGCTTACGTTCCAAAATGCTATAAAAAGAGAATAGTCAGAAAGTAGGTTTTCTGGAAGCAAAAGTAGACAGGAAGGCTTGAGACTGCTCACTTACACTGATTTGAGGTTGTACTGCTGGAAGTCCCAAGGTAATGTTGGGCAGAGAAGGGGATGTGTACAGACTCAACAAGTTCACTGATTCATCCTGTATCAAAAGGCGTTGCTGTGAAACCAGATGCTGGAATAAATGAGAACAACATAAGTATATTCTCCAAGCTTTTTATCTTGGTTACTTTATCCTCATTATCCTGCTACATTAAAATCCCGTTTTGTATCATGCATTGGTTTGTATCCCAATGGGGTTCCAGATAAGGAAAAGTACTGTTCCTGTGAAAAAGCTGTTGATATTTTCTTAAAAAAAAAATATCTGATATATGTCTGGGACTATTCCTTAGTTAGTAAATCAAAGTTCCATGCAAACCAAGGATTTGAGGATACCTAGACGATCTCTTCTTATCAGCTCAACATCAGTTCTTCTCATCAGCTGCACTTTCACTACTAGAAACTCAGTGGAAATTCAGTCAATGAATTAAGGCATATATCTAGCCGAATCGAAGGTGTCAAGAATGTGGATGTACTAGACCTTTACCATGGTTATTGTAATTTTTGTTTTAAGGTATGAAACGCGTTTTCTACATAGTCCATATATTTTCTTACCTAGATAGTGATATGGGGATGTTTTAGGCACATCATTTGCTTCCACTGACATGGGAATTTTGGGTAGAAAGTGAGACAGATCGCCACATCTGCCATTTAAAAAAATATACTGTCTCTCTCTATATGCATATATACAAAACCAGCATCCAATCATTCTCTGATGGTGGGATACTCCTCACAGCCTTCCTAATTCCCTTCCAGTTAAAATCTTTACCACTTCTTTTGAAGCCTTGTGATATAATTTTCAAGGACATGAAACTCCTAATATATTTTTAATTACTGTCAAGTAAATCCAGACATTCTACAAAGATCACCCTCTGTCTTTCCATTCTAGATCCATTGGGAAGAAATGTAAAAAGTTACATTACCACAACAGGAATCTTTTTGAAGCCTTTGCCTTTCTGCTTTAACAGTCATGTTTTTCAACATGTGGTCTAGTATAGTTGCTTGAATTACATTTTCTGTTTAACTCTTGCTTCCCTCCCAGAACTTTAACACAATAAGAGCTACAAAGGTCTTATTAGACTTAGGAACTCTGGCATGATATGGTCCCCAAGGGAACAACATCCTTGAAAAAGAATACCCTGTGTAACAGTATGACACAGTGACTTCTTTCTTCCCAAACAAAAAGCATATGGGACTCCAATAATAGACCACCTCCAAGAGGGATACTGCACACTCGGGCTTTGACTAAAGTAAATATAATAACTTGTCAAGCATGTTGTGGGGAGCTGTAGATTTTCCCCTGGACAAACCTGGAATATCAATTAACTCTGTAAAATACTTTGTGCTAATACAATGCAACTTCAGACCATCAATGAAAAGTGGTTAAGCACAAAAACACAGGATGTTATTCCAAAACATAACCTTCCTCATACAGTTTGTTTGGAGATACGACCTATCACTGAGACAATAACAGTAAAGTCTATCTCTGTAATTTTCTTATGGTACCTAGGGAATGTCAACAGATAGCATACGAAACAAAGAAACTTCACTTGTATATTACATTAATTTTTGGCTAACAGTGTCTTGCCTTGATAACATCCACCTTTGACCATGAATAAAACCAAGTATGTCAAGACTATGGAGATATTATTGAGGGAGACTATAAAGATTTAACTGAAAAAGGACACTGCAGCAGCTTTAATGTGCCTCATAGAATACAAACAAATTTGTAGCAACTGCAGCATCTATACAAGCCACTTCAAAAATGCACATTTCCTTTCTGGTTTAATTAACAAACATAACAGCGACAGGGTGTATAGAAGTAAAACATGTTCCCACATTAAGGTCAGACATGATTGTTTTATGAGGCAGAATCGATCACATTAGGTACCATGGGAATTTAATGCTGGAAACAGGAGTTTTTAGTAAGAGCATTTCAACACAAGTTCTAATGCCGCTAATAATCAGTCATTTTCATTTTGGTAAGTAACTGATTTTTTAAAATGTTTTCAGGCAGTATTAGCCTAAGCATCAGTCAAACCTCATCTCCCAAAATAAGTTTAGTAGCCCAGCTGCATAGATTAGGGTCCTGTGTATGCTGAAGCAGAACTGCTTTCACCCTAGCTGCAGCTTTGCTTTTTACGCAGTTGACAGTACCTTGAAATGGTGGCACAAGCTGGAGTTGCCAGCAGTGTCATTGGGCAGCACAATGGATAAGCCATGATCCTCATCCTACATGCAGGCGTGATGGTTTGGACTGACAACTCAACCACCCTGAAAAGCAACTTGTCCTACTTGCTCCTCTATATACTTACTCACTGGGTCCATGGATCCCACTTCCTGATGCTTAAAATAGCCTATCAGCAGTTACCCTCTTTCTTAAAATAGAGTACAATAACTAAATGTAACACTGCACAACGATCAGCATGTTACCATCATTAGTTATTGTACTTCTGTTGTGCTACTGGGACCTTTTGAGAAGCAGGAACAACTATTTCATGTTTGCATGTTTATATGCACACTTACACACTGAGAGGGGAAGAGGAAATGGTTTGGCTTTAAAACTTCTCAATTGTGGAGCTACAGTAAGGTTGTAATAGTTTTGAATATTCACAATCACTTACACCCTTATTTAAGGCTTTTGGGGTGTGTATTTTTGTAATTAGACTCACTTCACATATACTTGAAGCAAACCTCACCAGCTGGACAGAAACCGGCACATTTTTCCACCAGCCACCTGCAAAGAGCACTTCAAGGAGCTGAGTATTAGAAACATAGTACTGTGGGGTTGCACAAATCAAGTAGGTATTATCTGCCATGCGTGTCATTTATGTCTCCTGTATAATCAGGTGATATTCTAGGAAATGCTGCTCTCAAAAGTGCAAAGGAAAGAAAATGATCTGAAGCCCACTTACACCATTTGGAAACTTTCCATTGCCTTCAATGGCTTTTGACCCTGACATGAATCCCTAAAAGTAATCATTTCACATGACTAAGTCAGGTTGTCCCTCTGAACCCAAAGGACATGCTTTGCAGGGGCTCAATGCTGCTTGCATTTCTCATGCAAGTAAGATTTAGACCCAGCACAGGAGGTGACCTGAAAGTGTACAGCATGCTACAAGAGACAAATAGCTACTGCGGTGAACCTTGATGATACTGGAGACAACTGGGCCTAATAAAAACAGCATTTTATTTATAAGGTGTAATTAAAATCTCGAGTTTAACTTTCAAGTTTCATATAATGAGACCAATGTTTAACAAATGGTACTGAAAGTACCATTAAGGGAACTGTGATAGTAAAAATTATCTGCAAATATGTAGCATTTGCAGCGCACTTTGTTCATTCAAAAAAATGTTAATGTCTATCCACCAGACTGTCTGCTCTGGAGGGTAAACCACTTAAGTCTTGCTATTCAAATGGATATGGCAAAAATACTTTAAAAATCTGTTTCATTACTGATAATGCTCAAATTCTGTCTATGCACTAGAGTGTAATCATTTATGGTCTTGACCCATGTTTTACTGGTAAATGGCTCTCTGTCATAGCAACCTGTTTTCCCTGAGTAAAAAGTGGTTTATTTGCTGCCATGAAAACCACGGCTATCCACCCACTCAGTTATGAGCACAACACTTACTGCTAATGTCACAACAACGATTATGAAACAACAGCAATGTGAGTCATGAGAGATTACAGCAAAACAAGTGGTATTTTGGGTGATTTTGGAACACTTATCCTATTATTAGGAACCTCTGTACTTCGTGTATCTGATGAAAAATTGATTAGATATATAGCCTTTGAGAGCTGGCAGCTAATGCTAAACTAGAAAAGAGATATGTAGGAGTTTAGCTGCTGTTAAACTACCAAAGAAAATCCCACTGAAATCAAAATGCACTGAAGCTGAGATTTATGGAAAAATGTCTGAGCCCACAGGACCACAGTATTAAGAGTCAAGTAACCAGAGAGGTAAAGAAACCCTCAACTGTATCTAGAAATGGAAGTCTGTAGTTTTAGCTTCTTAGCATGCTTCCAGCAAGCGAAGTGACCGACTTCAGCACACGGAGCTCAGCTTCTAAAGGAACTTTTTAGACTCGTTTGAGGATCTGTCATTGTATGGTGGGGCTCTAACTTAGAATATAACTCTGCTGGTTGCTGCTACAACCTTTCCAAATCTCCCCAAACAGAGACTGTCAGCCTGACCAGATGTATTTCTGATGGTGGTTCAACACTGTGGGTAAATGTCCAGAAACTATAACATGCAAAGTAACAAGCACCATGTATCAGTCTGAGACATTATTTCCTCTGCATTTTGTAGTATCCTCAAGTCAATAAAAGATCCAATTGGACAAAATTTGCCGTTTAATACAGCACTACCACCCACATATTACAAACTTCTAAAACATTCACAGTATTAAAATATACCATTTAATTCCACTGAACTAGGATCTGATTTAATCTGAATGATGGATCTTACTCTGCATCATTTACATTTCCTTGCAATCACATACAGGGGGACTATGAGGCAAGACCACATGTTAGCCATCAATGCAATTTTTTTCTCTTTTTGGTTATGGGCCAGAGAGAGGCTACTAATCAGTGTGCAGAGGTCACCCACCTGCCCCCTGGATCATAGTTCACACACACAATTAATTCATTATGGGGAAAAGTCACTGCTGGAGGTTGAACTGCCCATTCCAGGTTTTTTTGAGGTGAATGTCCTGCCACTGACCTGGAGAAATAGCTCCATTAGCTAAAACCCTGTTAAATCACATTTTCTTATGCAATTTTTCTAACACTAACAGTATAAACCAACAATTAATAGAAAACTCTGCCACCAAAGCAGGAATTGCTGTAAGTATAGTCACTGGATACAGGATACTGTGGAATTTGATTCTTTCTTAGTTGCATTATTTTATTGTCCCTTTAAAATATTGTAAAGGGACATGCATGTCATCTGTGCTAAATAAGGTTTATCACAACTGATTTACCATCTGCATTCCTGTTGTTATAGGCACATATGTAAGAAGCAGAATAAAGAGTAGTTAAGACTCCTTCTGCGTACAGTCTCACTTTAAAAAACAAGTATCCAAGACTCCTGGAATGTCAGTATGGCCCTGATAAGGAAACTGAGGTACAGTAAAATAAAAGGCAGATGTGAAAAAGGATTTAGTCACCTAAATACTGTAATTAAACAAATCTACTTCAGCAACCATCTGAACCTGGGACTACCTTAATTCAGATGTGTTAAGGTCACCAATGTCTAAATCACTCTTTTGTATGTGAAAATTCTTCATCAGTGGTTCAGCACTGAGCACCTCTCCACGTTACCCCAGAAGGTAATGGTCTGCAACACAGATGCTTCCAAGTTCCTTCAATAGCTCCCTCCCACTCTTCCAGTAGCATTACCACTGCTTTTGTTTGGCCTTTTGTTACCAAAGTAACTTGTGTCTCATATATGCGGGTTTCCTGAACATGCATCTCATGTATGAAGATGGATCTCATATATAACATGCTCTGGTGTCAGCCTGCAGTGTCATGGTATCCCTGATAATTGTATCTTCTGCAATTACTCTGCTGGTGAGTATGATCCAGTTGAAGTTTCAAATATCTCCAGTCTAGATATCTGAAAATTATCTACCCAGTGAAGACTCTTACCTCAGCTTGAATGTTAGATGGCAAAACTGAGGTTTCATTTTCTGTTATACTGCTGGTTGGACCGTTGCTTGGGGAACTGGGACCTGATCCAGGGGAGCTGCTACTGACTGAGGATTCTGAAAAACAGATTAAGCACATGAATTTCACACTGGAAAAGAACACATGATCTTGATCGACTGTATACTCTTTATGGCACAGGGTCTTCTTTCTGTTGAAAAGTGTCTATTGGTTATGATATTTACTTACGTTGAAGTTTTTAAATTCATCCTCCATTTCTTTTGGTTTTACTTTTACAGTTCTAATGAGGAAAGATACTCTTGGTCTTTCTCCTTCTGATCTGTCTGCTTCACAAAGGAAGAATTTAATATTTGTTTTTCCCACAAAGATGGTATGATACTCAATATCAGGCAGAGATAGAACTTGTAAATAGTAAAAAGAAAAGGAAGTCTTGTCTTTTTAATTGCAAAAATCCTGCCTCTGTAAGAGATCAAAATGACAGAGATAGCAGGCTTGCAAAGGTCATGATAACATGTTGTCAATTCATGAGGCTACTGCCATCCCCCTTCTGTTTAGAAAGGGGATGAGCCCACTGTGGACTAATCGTTACATATACAAGTAATAATGGCAGAATATACACCACTTTCACTACATTTTTGGCACAAATATGAAGGGATTTGTACAGCACACAAATCGTTAAATAACATTTGAAAGGCTATATGCTATCTTGATTTAAAATTTTCCGAGTTCTGTCTAAGATAAAGGGGATGATCTCACTGTGTGTATTAAGTTACTCTAATCCTACATTAATAGAAATTAAATTTATGTAATGAAAACAGTTAACAAGGTTAAAGATGGAAGAGTGCAGCATTAATAGGGGTAAGCCTATGTCATGGGATAGCTTTCAAATTAAAGTACTCAAGAAGTTAAAATAATTAATACGTGGCAGTTAATATTCTATAGCCACTTTGCTTCTTCACTCTTTCAGTTCATATGCAAAAATATATCCTCACTTTGACTGAAATTACTGAGATATTTCCTAGCTGATTCTTGGACCTCTTACTCTTTCCTACTAGAGCTGACTTAAATTTATGGGAGTGAATCCACACCCAGTTATACTAACTGGTCAGGTAAAGTTCCTGCATTGTAGTCTCCCTAGTTTTCATGGAACAGCAGAAATGCAAACTTACTATTTTTCTCAGTTTTTAAAAAATTGCAATAACATTTTTTGTATTAAAAGTCATTTAAATAAAGGGCTATTTTCAGTTAAAAGAATTTAAAAAAAAGGAGAAAAAGGCTTCAGCCAGAAATGTTTGATCAGGGAAGTTTTGATTATGGCATATAGCTGATATTAATAATTATAATGGCAAACTGTAAAGCTCCTAATTATTGTCAGAGCTAGGAAGAGAACACATTTATTTTCAGGTTTCTGCTCACTCAACGGCTGCCAGAAATGCTCCTGGGAGAAGTATTTCATGTTATACCTTACCTATGAATGTACAAAATATAAAGAAATGAGCTATAACTTCGGGTAGAGATCAAGAATCTCATAAGAGCTTCAGCAAACAGAAATAATAATTTAGCTGTAAACCATTCTAATCTGGAAATAATTTATAGGGAAAATACCTTATTTAGTTACTTTCACTATTAGATTCTCATCTATATCCCAGTTTTACATATGGCATACTGTGAAAAGTTGTCATGAGAATTACTTGTATGGGGCTGCTGACGTGAATTTCTTCATGTTGTGTTATATTTCTATCTTAGCGTGATGTAATTCTGATATACCAAGTGAATTCAGATACATGTCTGACAGACTAGTAACAGTTGGTTGCATAAACATATGGCCTGATTGTAACATCATTTGAATAAGCCATGAAGCTACCAAGTATCGATGCAAAGTCAAAGCAAGAAATGTCAGAATGAGGCCAAACGCTAAAAATGCTCTTTCCTTTCAAATCAGCAGATAAGGCCTTGGCAGCATACTAATCCTAAAGACTGAAAATGGAAGGACTTTAGCCTGTTTGGGAACTTGGGTGCAATTCTGCAAAATAATATACCTGACAAAATTTACCCCCCTGTAATACCAAACACATGAAGGAAAGTCTCAGCATCCATTCAGGGCCAGGAAAATTATTTAAAATAAATAGTACTTGATGCCAAATTTTTACTTTGTTTTTTTCCCCTTTTAATCTCCCTCATATGTATAATTCTGTATTTTTACCTGCTAAAAGTTCCCATTCAATTACTAAGAATACTTACTATCTACTATGACCAACAATATGCCACTGAATATTTCTTTTTTTTTTTTTTTCCTCAGAAAACAGCTTAGTGAGCCCCTACATCAAAACTAACTAGTCAACATTTTCAAAAAAGAGAAACCAGAGGGATAGAGCCAAACACAGGATTCCAAAATGTCCTTGATTAACCTGTGTAATACCACATAGGTGTTTCTGCACCTGCTATTAGCATCTGCATTTTTCTGTGGGAGATGCAAGATCTGAAACATTGTTCGTGTACAGAAAACACAGATTAAGGGAAGAGACTATTCTTGCTTTCTCCTTTGATGTCCCTTGCCACCAAGGGGTCTACCATTTCTTTGTTCTTGTACTTGCTGTTGTAAAGTACTGGTTTCCAAGCTGGTTTGAAAGTATGGCTTTCAAATTCACAATTACTTTTTGGTAAGTGATAGAAAGCTGCAGATTACAAGCTATTTAAATACAACCAATTATTTAATACAGTTTTCAGCAGCAGCAAAAAAAGACACATTCCTTTGTTTAGCAAACAGTTTCAATTGCAAAATACCACCACTACTCTGTGAGCAGGCACATTGATACAGAATTTCTCCATTCTTAATTACCTGTCACCTCGAAGAGTCTCTTCTTGAATGAACTGACGGTTCCATCCTTCCTCCTGAGTAAAGGACTGCTTCTCCTTTCTGTCACCTTTTGTTTTAACCTTGAACGTACCTTCAAATTGGGCTCTGAAGCTGGAAATGAAGAGAATAAAATAAATTATTACAAATCAAATTGCTCCTTTGTGTCAGATACCACAGACCTGACCTGATCCAAGGAGGGCTTAGAGGCAGAGATTTTACAGCCCATCGTCCCCAGCCATCCTGCTGCTTCCATACAACTCCATTTTAGGTTGGAGGTTAGGAAAGAGAGGAAGAGAGCTGAAAAGTTTCGTATCCCAGTATTTTTCTCATCCCATTTGAACCCCGAAGTTACCCATTAATTATTGTTAAAATATAAATATTAATTAGAAATGAATGAAACTTTTATTCCACATCATTGTTATCTCTCTTGTAGGTGAAAACTTGAATGGAAATACAGCTTGGAAACAGGAACCTTATAATTGGATTATGGTCTGATGACAGAAATAGAGAGAAAACTCCACTGGTGCCTTTTGATTTCTCTTAGAAATATAAATTATGACAAGCCTTGCTGGCAGAACATTTCTTGGTCAGCAATTTTAGGCCCAGAACTTCAGTGTTTTCTGAGTAACACACCAAACAACTAGATTTATGACAGTCTCCTAAGAACATTTACACAGAAAAATATATGCTCTGAAAATGAAGAAGGAGGATTGATTCCCAGAAAACTTGGGATTATATTTAATGCACCTTGGGCCAGTTCCACCTTTGTTTCCTAAATGGACACGGTCTTTTCATATGAAGGCCAGAGATGAAGCTCTGCTGTTTTTTTTATTTTGTGGTATTTTTATCATGCTAAAATGTTTCATGCACTCATTTATCTGTTCTTCTAAGTAAACCCTCTATCAAATAGACTGCTAAGAGCTAGTGAAGGACAATTTTGGAATAAAATTTGTTTTTATTTCCCTTCCCGGAACTAAGGTTTGGCTAAGCAGTATCTCAAAATAGAGAGAGCTGAAAACTGGGATCCATTGTCTCTCCTATGCACAGACATAAGCCCAGCCCCAAAGAAGGAGTAAGAGTTAGCAGAAAAACAAAATAAATGAAATCTTCATTCTGTTCAGCACTATACCATTTGTCACTTCAGGGCAGGAACTCAATCCTACATGTGTAATATTGCATATCTATTTCCCACTGTCCCACTTGTTACCTCAGAGATGGGGATGTTAGAAATGCTCATGTGAGAGCAAAGGGGCCGCAGCTCTGCTGGAGTGCTGCTGTAACCTGCAGTACTTGCAGTCACGCACCAGCCTTTGTCACATACCACATTGCTCGTGGCAAGCGCTCCCTTCTAAGCGGCGTGTGCCTTGAGTACATTTCAGACCAAGATACATAGGCTATCACAACAGCAGAAATCTTTAATAATAAAAAAGTTAGAAAGAAATTTATTTTTTATCGCTTACTACCACTGTGAATACCAGTGGTTCTAGGGATGGAGTACAGATGACTTATTTGCTGTCTAAGATACCATTTGCTATAAAACTTAAAATATAACAATGGGCTAAGACTACACTATGTGCTTTCACCACAGATCTGACCAGGTATGATGACATTTGGAAGAAAAGGTGCTCACCCCTTTGGCACTTAGGGTTATTTCCATTTAGATTATTCTGTACTCTTAAAATTTAGGAGAGTATTTCTATATTTGTACAGACTAATGCGATACAAATCCTCTGCAACACTCACTGGAGAAATGCTCCACTTCTATATGAATGTTTCATGCTCAGTCACAGCGATTGCCTTTCTATTTTTACCACATTCCCATCATATTCTGCATCTGAATCAATCATATAAGCAGAGAGAGCAGACTTTGATGTCAGTGTCTGAATTTATGAGCTGTCTGAGAAGACAGCCCTTTGCATGAAAGACGAAAATCATTTTTAAACAGACATAATCAATTTTAAATGAAAAGGCATGGAGAAGACTGTTTTTTAAACGATATAATAAACTTCCCAATAAAAAACAAAGCCAAGGTTTGAAGAGTGTTTGCTTCAGATGCTGGCTGTCTTGAATATCTCCCATGAGACACTGCCAGCTCCTAACACGGTACTAGCTACGACTTGATGGCTGGCAACAAGAATTCATGTTTTAGTGCACTAATATAAATCTAACCAATTTGAGGATGTCTGCTCCAATGGACAGAATGCAGAAATGGGAAGTGGTTTCTTGATACCTGTCTGTGGCTGAGGAATTGATTTAGTGTGTGATTGTAGAGGTCACCGTACCATCCTGCCCCACCAAAGCTGATGCAGAATTATTGTTGACTGCAACAGGTATGGATCACAAGAGCAATCCTATGTGCTTCAATACACTCCTACATGAAGGCAGTAATAACACATCTATAATTGTCAACTCTCTTCTGATAGTCAAAAAGGCAAAATTAAGTATTTTAAGCTTCAAGGATAGAGCTGTGGATTAGAACTATAAATGTATATACATATATACATATATATATATATATATATACACACAGACTTCCCCAATGCAAGATCATGTAGGAATTATTTTAATCCTTTAAACTCTGAAATGCAAACAAGTGAGCAAAAAGCGAACATAAATTTTTAAAACTTTTTTTTTTTTTTTAATTAAATTGTCTCCCTAGTATTTGCAAGGCACTTAGAAAGCCTTAGTGGAAAATGGTGAAGATTTATTATAATAAATCTGCCTTATGTTTCAAATGAGCATTTGGTTCAATACTTAAACTAGTGGTTCTTAGAAGTGGCCTATAGAAGGATAATGCTCAAAAGAATGGTTTTTCATTAGTCACCCCTGTATTTCTGCTGCACATTATTAACACCTTTGCTGAGCGTAATTAATCCACTGCCAAGGCTGACTATGTTCATCACTCAAAGGCATTCTCTATGTGGAAGTGTCACATGAGGAGCCAGTGCCAAATAATGTCTGAGGCTAAAGCTTTACTCATGACCTTGTTGCAGTTCTGCTATTCAGCTTCCCCATGCAGATACAAGCCCCTAAAAGTGAACCTTCTTTTGCTCTGTTAATACCACAAAATCATTGAAAAGACCTTCACATAGACTATTACTTTATGTAGTGATTCAACCATAAACCAAGACACTGACTCAGCAAAATAATTAATGCACATGGCTAACTTTCTGTAGACCAAGCATTCCACTGTGGTCCAGGACTAAAACCTAGATTAATTTTACCTCACATAGGATATGCCCTGTATCTCACTTTCCTGAGGAAATAGGGACTCTCCAAAGTGCTACAGGTGCTGAATAAGGTAGGGTTTGCTGGTTTAGATGCCTGCAACTCCTCTGAACAAGGAGCCAGAATGCCAGAGACAAGAGAAAAAGAGCACCTGGCCAGGAGTGTAGCAGATGAAAACAGGACTGGACGTTTTCATGGCATCAGGCTGGTACGGTGGTCTATTCATCTAAAATCCTGCTAAAAAGCAGTATACAACTGATATTGGTCTAACTGGTCACTATTAGCCTAGCCTCTTTGCTCTGCAAATCTTTGTACTTCTACTACAGTTAACACTTTGGAACAATAATCAGTTCCTACTTGTAGAAAGGGAAAGTATATTATTTGAGAGTATTTTATTGCAAAGAAAACAAAAAGACACAGCTATTTTCTCTGAAAGCCATCAAAGCCCATGTCATTGATTTTGATGGGAATCAGCTGATACCCATTTCAGCAATTCACTTGAGTGGATTTCAGGAAAGACTAGCCTGAAAATGACTTTGTTTCTGTAACTGCAGCATAATTTGGAATAATGAGATGTTGCGGTAGTATGGCTTGTTCAGTCATTGCTATTATCTGGCTTATTCTCTTTTTAGTGCTGGTAATAATATACTGGTATTACTTTTTACATGACTGTAAGCGGGAACCAGGTGTGAAAGATACAGAAAGTACTAGTTTAAACAACAGATGTCACAGGCAACCCAAGGATTGGTTACCTAACTCCTTGGTATAACCTGTCATTATCTCCACAGAGAACTGAGAACTTTGCTCTAGGTGAAGAAGAAAGATAGCATCTCAATTATTTTTCTCATCTCTTATGGTGGCTTCATATAGCAGGAAAGAAGTAAGTAACTGTACTGTTAAAAGTGGAAAATATGCAGGCTTTTCTGTAGGTAGACATTAATTTCATCACAACAACTGTCACTGCTCAGGTGAAAGAAAATTATTTTCTCCTGAGAAACTTGATACTGAAACACAAGCATGAGAGATAGGAAAATGATTTGGTGAAGTCATTATGTCCTATACTCCACTTTGCTTAATATTAGCAATTTGCAGATACTAGCATTAAAGAATATAGCCTGGAGCCAGATTGCTCCCAAATGAGCTGAGGTTTTTTTGACAGGGCTTTGCTTCACTGTTTCTTTTTATTAAACACACAGAGATATTTAAGAAGAAGGGATAAAAATCCTTTCTACACATGGGGAGAGGACATATATATGAAGGGAATGTAAAAGATAATAATATACTACTTTCTGATGGTTCCTGGAACACAGTACCACTTTTGTATCAGAAGAGCGTGTGCCAACTTCAAATCAGCATTTAATGAACCCAGGCAGGAAATGGGGGATGGGAGAGGGTGCAGAGCAAGCAGGTCCTCATCTCGAGACTAAAGCCATATATAGGAAACCTGAAGAACAGAAAGTGAGCTTTTGTCCAGACTTCGAAAGGCTCTAAAGTGAAAGCATTTCCTTTTCCTTGCTGGCAGGCTGGTTTAGAAAAGCGGTAGGGCAGCTGAGGTAAATGATGATAAATCTGGCTACAAAGATTTCAACAACAGCACAAGTGATAGAGGCAAAATTCACATCTTACTTGATAAAGATAAAATTGCTCCCTATTGCCCATCCTGCAGCTTAGTTATCACTAAGATCAATTTGAAATGATAACCCGGACTTCATAACTTTAATTATGTTACTAACATAACTAAATCAACTGAAACAATTAAAAAGCAAAGACTTCGTGATCCTGAAGTAAATATTCCCTGGTATCGTCTATTTCTTTAGCTTTCATTTCTTTTAAGTGGTGAAGGGTCATATATTGTACTAATTTGAATATATTCTATGCTGTAC